CCCAGAGCCCGACGCGGGGCTCGAACTCACGGACCGCGAGACCCAGCACTGCTTTAAACATTGGGGTGCATGTGCCCCTTCGAATCAGAATTCCATTGTCCTTTAGATAAATTCCTAGTAGTGCAGTTGCTGTGTTGTAGGGTAGTTCTATTTTTAATTTTTGGAGGAATCTTCATTCTGTTCTCCAGAGTAGATGTACCAGTTTGCATTCCCACCAGCAGTGCAAAACGGTTCCCCTTTCTCCACATCCTCGCCAACATCTGTTGTTTCATGAGTTGTTAATTTTAGCCACTCTAACTGGAGTGAGGTGTTATATCATTGTGGTTTTGATTTATATTTCCCTAATGATGAGGAATGTTGAGCATCTTTTCATGTGTCTTTTGGCCATCTGGATGTGTAATTGGAAAAGTGTCTATTCATGTCTTTTGCCCATTCCTTCACTGGATTATTTGTTTTTCAGGTGTTGAGTTTGGTAAGTTCTTTATAGATTTTGGGTAATTAACCCTTTATCTGATTTGTCATTTGCAAATATCTCCTACCATTCTGTTGGTTGCCTTATACTTATGTTTATTGTTTCCTTTGCTTTGCAGAAGCTTTTTATCTTGATGAGGTCCCAATAGTTCATTTTTGCTTTTGTTTCCCTTGCCTCTGGAGACATGTCAAGTAAGAAGTTGCTGTGACTGAGGTCAAAGAGGTTGTTGCCTGTTTTCTCCTCTAGGATTTTGATGGTTTCCTGTCTCACATTTAGGTCTTTCATCCATTTTGACTTTATTTTTGTGTATGGTGTAAGAAAGTGGTCCAGGTTCATTCTTCTGCATGTCACTGTTCAGTTTGCCCAGCACCATTTGCTAAGGAGATTGTCCTTTTCCATTGGATACTCTTTCCTGCATTGCTGAAGATGAGTTGGCCATATATTTTGGGGTCCCATTTCTGGGTTCTCTATTCTATTCCATTAAAATGTGGGTCTGTTTTTGTACCAATACCATACGTCTTGATGATTACAGCTTTGTAATACAAGTTGAAGTCCGGGATTGTGATGCCTCCAGCTTTGGTTTTCTTTTTCAGCATTACATTGGCTATTCGGGGTCTATTGAGGTTCCATACAAATTTTAGGATTGTTTGCTCTAGCTCTAGAATGCTGGTGTTATTTGATAGGGATTGCATTGAATGTGTAGATTGCTTTGGGTAGTATCGACATTGTAACAACATGGAATGTTTTTCCATTTGTTTGTGTCTTTTTCAATTTCTTTCATAAGCTTTCTATAGTTTTCAGCATACAGATCTTTTACCTCTTTGGTTAGGTTTATTTCTAAGTATTTTATGGTTTTGGTGCAGCTGTAAATGGGATTGATTCCTTGATTTCTCCTTTTGTTTCTTCATTGTTGGTGTATAGAAATGCAACCGATTTCTGTACATTGATTTTATATCCTGCGACTTTGCTGAATTCATGTATCAGCTCTAGCAGGTTTTTGGTGGAGTCTTTCAGGTTTTCCATGTAGAGAATCATGTCACCTGTGAAGAGTGGAAGTTTGGCTTCTTCTTTGCCAATTTGGATGCCTTTATTTGGTTTTGTTGTCTGATTGCTGAGGCTAGGACTTCCAACACTATGCTGAACAACAGAGGTGAGAGTAGACATCCCTGTTGTGTTCCTGATCTCTGGGGGAAAAAGCTCGGTTTTTCTCCATTGAGGATGATATTAGCTGTGGTCTTTCATATGTGGCTTTTTTAAAGATATGTTCCTTCTATCCCAAGTTTTGTGAGGGTTTTTATCAAGAAAAGATGCTGTATTTTGTCTAATGCCTTTTCTGCATCTGTAGACAGGATCATATGGTTCTTATCCTTTCTTCTATTAATGTGGTATATCACGTTGATTGATTTGTGGATATTGAACCAGCCCTGCAGCCCAGAAATGAATCCCACTTGCTTATGGTGAATAATTCTTTTAATGTACTGTTGAGTTCTATTTGCTACTATCTTGTTGAGAATTTTTATATCTAGGTTCATCAGGGATATTGGCCTGTCATTCTCTTTTCAGTGGGGATTTTGGTTTTGGAGTCAAGGTAAGGTAATGCTACCTTCATAGAATGAGTCTGGAAAATTTACTTCCATTTCTGTTTTTTGGAACAGTTTGAGAAGAATAGGTATTAACTCTGTTTTAAATGTCTGGTAGAATTCCCTGGCAAGCCACCTGGCCCAGGACTCTTGTTTGTTGGGAGATTTTTGATAACCCACTTACTTATTCATTGGTTACGGGTCTGTTCAGGTTTTCTATTTCTTCCCATTTGAGTTTTGGTAGTGTATGAGTGTCTAGGAATTTGTCCATTTCTTTGTCCAGTTTATTGGCATATATAGTTTTTCATAGTATTATCTTACAGTTGTTTGTATTTCTGTGGTGTTGGTTGTGCTCTTTTATTTGTCATTTTATCTATTTGGATCCTCTTTGAGAAGTCTGGCTAGGGGTTTATCAATTTTGTTGATTCTTTCAAAAAGTCAGCTGTTAGTTTCATTGATCTGTTGTACTGTTTTCTTTTGGATTCTATTTCATTTATTTCTGCTCTAATGTTTATTATTGCCCTTCTTCTGCTGGGCTTTATTTACTGTGGCTTTTCTAGCTCCTTTGGGTGTAAGGTTAGGTTGTGTATTTGGGACCTTTCTTGCTTCTTGAGACAGGCCTGAATTGCAATGTATTTTCCTCTTAGGACTACCTTTGCTGCACCCTAAAGAGTTTAGACTGTCGTGTTTTCATTTTCATTTGCTTCCATGTATTTTTCAATTTCTTTTTCAGTTTCTTTTTCAATACCCTGTTTAACCCATTCATTCTTAAGTAAGATGTTCTTTAGCCTCCATGTATTTGGAGGCTTTCCAAATTTTTTCTTGTGGTTGATTTCAAGTTTCATAGTGTTGTGATCTGAAAATATGCATAGTATGATCTCAATCTGTTTGATCTCAGTCTGTTGAGGGCTGTTTTGTGACCCAGTATGTGGTCTATTTTGGAGAATGTTCTCAACTATAATTTGTTCAAACAAACCTTCTGCCCCTTTCTCTCACTGTTCTTCTTCTGGAACTCCTATGATATGGACACTTGTTTCATTTCATGGAATCATTTAGGTCTCCAATTCTCCCCTCGTGATCTAATAATTTCCTTCCCCGCCCCCTTTTTTTTTCAGCTTCTTTATTTTCCAAAATTTTATCTTCTATTTCATCTATTCTCTCTTCTGCTTCTTTCATCCTCGCTGTCACTGTATCTAGGTTATTTTGCATCTCAGTTATAGCATTTTTTAATTCATCATGACTAGTTCTTAGGTCTTTGATCTCTGCAACAAGAGTTTCTCTGGTGTCTTCTATGCTTTTTTCAAGCCCAGTTGTTAATCTTATGACTGTTATTCTAAATTCTTGTTCAGATATATTATTTATATCTGTTTTGAGCAATTCTCTGGCTTTGCTTCTTGCACTGTCTTTTGGGAAGAATTCCTCCATTTGGTCATTTTGGTTTTGATTTCTTCTTGCACTCTCTTTTGGGGAGAATTCCTCTGTTTGGTCATTTTGGCTAAGTTTCTGTCTTTTGTGTATTTTAAAAGCTTCTTGTGTGTCCTGCACCTGAGTGTACTACTGTATTAAAAAGGGGTCATACCCTATCCAGGGCCTAGCACTCCAGGAAGTGGTTTTTGTATATGTGGTGTGCACTCTGTTGTACATTTTGGCTGCTCATCCCAGTGATCAGTACTGTGCAGAGTTCCTCCTTGCTTATAGTGGTGGAGTGTGTGGACCTTCAACCAGGGAAGCTTTGATTTGTTGTTGAAGTAACCCTGGAAAAGCATAGGGAAAAAAAGGGTGGGGGAATCCTGATCCCATAAAAAGAAAAATGAAAGGAGAAAATAGTCCAAACAGCAAATCAAGGGGGGAAAAAAAGGGGGGAAAAAAGGAAAAAGAAAACAAAACAAAAAAGTATGAGGCTAAATTCAGAGGAATAGGAAAATAAGAAATAGGAAAGGTGGAAAAATGATAGAATAAAAATTTCTGGTAAAAAAAATATTTATACACACACACACACACATATATATAGAATAAGAATTGACCAAAAACAAACCAGAAACTATGTGCCTGATTCTAAAAGAATAAAATAGGAGAAAGAACAATTAGAAAGAAAGAAAAAGAAAGGAAGGAAGAAAAGGAAGGAAGAAAAGGAAGGAAGGAAGGAAGGAAGGAAGGGGAAACAGTTGTCTTTTGGCGCCTAGCACCAGTGGCTGTGCTGGTCTGGAGGAGAGGCCAGCTGAGTTGGCTCAGTCATTCTTGCTCCAGTAGAAAGAAGTTGCCAACCATGGAGGAGCGGTGTTTGGTGTAAGCATGTCCAGCCTCCAGTGGGGGTGCTGTGCTGCTCTCTGAAGTTCCACTGTATTGGTGTTGGGGAGAAAAACAGCGACATCCCAGTCTCGCTCCCCCGACTGGGTGTCTCAACCCATGCTGTTCAGGTAGTCCTCACAGAATAGCAAGGGTATTCACTTTGCACTGCTCCACAGCCTCCCAAACCTCTTAGGCAGCTTGGCTGCGATTCAAAACCTGATGTCATCTTCAAGGACTCCACACCGTGTGCACCCCATTCTGCAGTATTGCCACTCTGCCCTGCTGTAAAAAGGCCTTTGGCTGGCACGTGCAGGGTCTTTTGTCCTTGGAGAGGCAATAAATCATCTTCCCAAAGTACTCCAGGAAGTGGACTGTTCTCTCCTAGTGCTCTCCTGAGATTGCTACGCTGTGCTATACCCTGGGGTCAGCTCCCTCCCTCCCAAGGAGCACACGAGTCATGGCACCGGCTCTACCTTGGAGAGAGTCTTGCACTTCCAAAATCTCTCTGCTCCAGAGGCTCCATCCTGCCAAGCTGTCTCCCTACAACTGTGGAGATCCTCTGCTACTCTGCAGATCGATTTCCTGGGTGTTCCATGTGATCCTATCTCAGTACAGCTGTGTTTGAAGGACTAGGAAAATTCCCATTCCCCTACTTCTCTGCCATCTTAACTGCCTCTGCCTCTTCAGTTTCATTTTTTAATCCAGTGTTTCCTTGCTCCTGGTATCTCACAGGAGCATATCTTAGATGCTTGGAGAACTTAAACTCATTATTTGTTTACATCTTTATTTTTCCCCCAAGAAGACCAAAAACCATCTCCTATAATTTTAGACTTTTAACCCTCATCCTACCTGTATTTCCCTTTGGAGAATGGATTTTTTTCCCCCAATTTCAAACATTATGTCTATCAGATTTTAGATTCATTTGATCGTCTTCTAATATAGGTAGGATTATGCTGTGGCATCTTTTGTCTGAAATCCTCTTTAGTAATGAAAGTTTATTTTAGGAGTGAAGAGAGTTTAGAAACCAAGGACCCTTCTGTACCCTAGAATTTCTAAAATTAGGATATATGGGAGGCTGATAGAGAACTAGAATAATAGCACAACATTGTTCAGGATACAATGTGAGTTTCAGTGAGATACATTTTTAAAGTATACTTGATATTTATAACCTGTTTCTTTGATTTTAAAATGTTTACATTTTTCTCCCAAATTTTGATATTTCTGATTATTGGATAACCGAAGCATTTGTTAAAGAGATGCTACATGTCTCAAGCCCACCTGAGGAACTCCCTTTCCTAGTGTTTGAATGTACTTACTACTGTGTTTGGTTTAGATACTAATCTCTGGATCAGTTCAGTTGGGTAGCAAGTTTCACTGAATTTAATGCAAATGAAAGAAAGTAGAGCAATATTATATAAAAACATCCGCTTAAGACTCATTTCCTCAGAATGGGGCTATAAATGGGCAAACACTAAGAACTTTCTTTATATCTTTCTTTTCTATTCATGCAGGGACAGCAAGAGATCCTATCATATACCTTGAAGTCTAGTGCATAATCCCTCAATTCTTGATGAATGAATATAAACCAGGTCTCATTGGAACAAGATGATTAGATCTAGCTTAACAATCTCCTATTTGTAAATAAATGGATTGACTAAAAGGATTTTACTAAAAGAATACATATGCTTGTATCTTCTAAAAATAAATTTGGGTTTTCCATTGCACTTGAAATTATTTATACTTTCCAAGAGTAATGAAAGTGATCCTGTAGACCCAAATTTCAAAAACAAGCATTTCTTTAAATTGCGGTTCCTGTTTTATGATAAGTTAAATAGGTGCTTTCCAAGTCTGTACTATGTCCTTTTTTTTTTTTTTTTTTTTTTTTTTTTTTTTTTGAGCCTGCAGTCATTTAAATTTGAACCAACCATAGATGTCTTTTAATCTTTCTAACTGACAAAGAGCAACAGAAAGCTCTCCTCTGCACAAATGGCATTTTACTTTTATTTTTAGGGCTAGTGAGTTTAAATTTTCTGCTGAATTTACTCTTAGAATTGTTCTAATGATCTATTATGTGGTTTGTTATAAAATGGGATAGCTAGTTATCTTGAATTAAAGTTTTAATTTTTTAATAGTTTGATTCATATATATCTTTAATCAGCTATGTTACTAAGGTGTTTAGCTTCATTTTTCCATTTAGCATTCTCAATCTAAGAGTGATTATTGAATTAATTACAAGAGAGAGGAAACTAGCAAAGAGCCCAAGCAAGGGTCTATAACAAGAGTAGTTGATACTTTTGAGGAGAAAAGATACTGGCTGCTACTTCTAAGAACAGTTGCTCACATAGATATTACTGATTAGAACTAGTTCTTAGGATTCATTGACCCACTAAAAACATAGTTTATTCTTGTAAGCAAGAAAAGTGTGACTATAATTCTCTATATGAAAGACTTTCTTCGAAAAATGTAAATAAGGGAATATTTGATGCTATTGCTGAGATTTTGTTTCAACTATTAAATATATTTTGAAATATTTTATAGTAAAGAATGTTTAGTGTGACCATAATGATTCACATTTAATCCTAGCTATTGCATATATATTCTAATTATTTGGGTAATTTGAGTAAATATTTTTTCAAGATAAACATTTTTGCAACTTTTAAATATCTTGCAAGATTGTGCAAAATCACTTTTTGTTTTTTTTAAATTTTTTTTTCAACGTTTTTATTTATTTTTGGGACAGAGAGAGACAGAGCATGAACGGGGGAGGGGCAGAGAGAGAGGGAGACACAAAATCGGAAACAGGCTCCAGGCTCCGAGCCATCAGCCCAGAGCCTGACGCGGGGCTCGAACTCACGGACCGCGAGATCGTGACCTGGCTGAAGTCGGACGCTTAACCGACTGCGCCACCCAGGCGCCCCGCAAAATCACTTTTTGTAAAAAAAAAAAAAAAAAAAAAATGACATCAGAATAATTGCTACAATAAAATCCAAATCTGTTAGTATGGCATTCAAGACCTGCTGTCTGCCTTTCTAATTTTCTTTCGTTGCATTGTTGCTCTATGTATGGTCAGTTCTCAGTCATCTGATCGTGAATTCATTCATTTTGGCTTAATTATGATTCATTCACAACAAGGACCTGGAAAGATTCACCTTTCCCAAAGCCAGAATTGTATTTAGAGTTGGCTGTTACTGATTTCCTAGACCAAGCTGCCTTGAGCTTCTTTGGTTGAAAGGGAGACAAAAGGGCTTAGAGCATTGCCTGTTCTACCCTTCCCTTACCAGGTTCACTCCAGGCTTTGCTTCTCTTCTTTAGCCTAGGATACCCAATCAAGACTAATGGACATATCATGAGTTGATTGCAGTTTAAGTGCGATTTTACATGGCCTCCTTCCTACTCTCCCCTTGCCTATTTACTCTCACTGAGAGCTGACTACTATTCCTGTGTTATCTAATACTTTTTGACTCTGCTTTTACGCATATTTTTCCCTACTTGAAATGCCTTTCCTTCCTGTTGAAATTTTACAATCCCTTTATCTCCTCAAAGAGAATTAATCATACCAATCTCCTCTTTACAATATATATTTTATTCTTGTATTTTAATTAGTGATTTTTTTAACCATTTTTCCCATTAAAGTATTTGTTAGTGACCATATGGGTTTACCATAGCAACCTTGTATTGTCTGGAGAGTTTAGACAGTTAATGGTGGTGGTGAATAAGAGACTAAGTGAATTACTGCTAAAAAGATCTCTGTTTTTTTTTTTTTTTTCACTATTAACGTTATACTTTTCCAAATGTAAGCTCTTCTATGGGCTTCATCTAAACTAAAGTGAATTAAGATAAACTATATTCAGTGAATTAAGATAAACGAATCTGGCATTTGTTATAGTGACATACTGAGGAATATATATGTGAACATCTATAAATCATAGGGTTACATTTATAAATATTTCTTGTGTCATATAAATATTTCTCTTTATTTCAAAATAAATGTTTTATTATGTTCCAAGTATCATTAAAATATCCATATTTACAAGCACTTGTTAGAAGTAAAGAATCATTGTTTCTTATCAGTAGACTAGTGTCATAGAGTCTGCTTGTATTTGAATGCATTACTGAATAGAGAACTGTCTGCAAAATGTATTGTTATGACCATATTTTAATCTTTCAGAAACAGATGGGTGAGATGAAACTACAACTTGAAAATGTCATCAAGGAAAATGAAAGGTAAATAAATTAATTTAATTCTTTTATTGTTATCCTAGATAATATTTATTGTTGTTATTTAATATTTTATTCATGTAGTATACTGGTTATGAGTGAAGACTCTGGAGCCTGATTTCCTGTTTCACTCCCAGGTCCATTACTTACTAGTTTTGTGACTTTGGACAGTTACTTAACCTTTTTGTGCTTTAGTTTTCTTATCTATAAATTGGAGATAACCTATTTCATAGGGCTGACTGTAAAGGAAAATAGAGTATGTAATAAGTACTTTATACATACTAGCAATCATTAACAGTACAGTTTATAATAATTATGTATGTTCCAAAACATACTGATAAAAACCTTCAATCCACCATCTAGTTAAGAGCTAAAAAGGTTAGCAATACTGGTACATCTACCCATGTTTTCTTGCCCTATCCCATTCCTCTCTTTCCCTCTGCCAGAGAGAACACTTTGTTGAATTTTGTGTTTATCATTCCCTTGGTTTTTAAATTTTGTTATAGGTGTCTGTGTCCCTAACGATAGATTATTTAGTTTTCTGGGGTTTTTTTAAGCTATATTAAAATTGTATCATTTAGTCTTCTGGGACTTTTTTTTCCCCACTCAGTATCATGCACAAACAAGTACGAGAGTTTCAAGGGATAAAATTGCTGGATCATAGATTATGAAATATTCATTTTTACAGTGTAATGCCAATTTCCAAAGTGGCTGTGCCAATTTACATTCCCACCTGTGATATTTATGAGTTCTTATTGATCTATATCTTTTTATCAGCACTTAGTCTTACCAAGTTTCTTAATTTTTGTTATTTTGAGTCTTAGGTTGTTTTTTACTGTGGTTATAATTTAACATTTCCCTGAATACTAATATGGTTAACCATTTTTCATATGTTTATTTACCCATGTAGTGTTGTTTTCTCATGAAATGCTTTTTCATTTCTTTTTCCCATTTTCTATTTATCTTTTCCTTATTAAATTGTCAAAGCACTTTATATAATCTGTATTCTGAATATTTGTTGGTATGCCAATCTGTGTGAATGCAGTAACAATACTGTAAACCATAACCACTAGAAATTTCAGGAAGGGATTCAATCACTTAACATTTGGTACTAGATCACTAGCTTTAGGATCGTATTTAGGGGCTATGATCCTGAAGTCAGGAATTTTTGGTGCTGCCACCATCTCTGTTGCTACTCCTACAGCATCATTTCCATAAAACTGGAGACTTGACATTGGAAAGTGAGGCACGGGGTATTGACTATAAGTGACACTCATGTCTGTCCAGTTTTGTGTGCTGTCTTACCAATAGAAAAATGTTCTCAGCTCTCTTCTGTCTTCCATATCCCCCTCAAGTGCTTCTCACTGGTGATACTTTAATCCCACCCACAGCTCCAGCTATAAGGACCTCTGAGAACTGTAGTTTTGGACTTTCAGCCTCTGTGATAGAGACTGGAATATGGAAAGGAATGGGAATGAATGTTGCCACAGTACCATACAACATGCTAGATGATAGGTATTTTCATAGATATATTCCCAGGTTCTGATATGTTTGATAAACAGAATTTTCTATTTTGTTTTTAATTCTAAGGTAATTGAATCTGTCCATCTTTTTTCTAATGGTTGTTCTTTGTGTCTCTAATAGATCCTCTCTTAGCCTATGATCATAAAGATCCCGTATTTTTGGCTAAAAATATTTAAAGTTTTATTCTACCCCAAGTTTCTTAACTGTAACTTAAAAAAAAAATTTTTTTTAATGTTTACTTATTTTTGAGAAGGAGACAGAGCATGCATGGGGGGAAGGGCCGAGAGAGAGGGAGACACAGAATCCGAAGCAGGCTCTAGGCCCTGAGCTGTCAGCACAGAGCCCAACACAGGGCTCGAACTCATGAACCATGAGATCAGGACCTGGGCCTAAGTCGGCCACTTAACCAGCAGAGCCACCCAGACGCCCCATTAACTTTAACTTTTAAAGATCATGCACCTGGGCTGAAATCTGATAGATCTTTTGTTGTTAACTTGTGTAACTAGACCAAAAAGTAAAGAAATGAAATTTTTTTAGTTCCAAATTCATTTAAAGCATGGGCTTTTTAAAAGTTAACTTTCTTTTGTTTGCATTTTGCTAGATTATATAGCACTTTCCTTTTAGTTTTGTTAATTTATTTTAAAGCATGTTGCTCTCAAGAATAATCTAGAACTCCCACGGAATTCGTATGTCTTATGACTATTTTGTCACCTTCTACCTTACATTTTAAAAAATACGTTTTCACTATTTCTCCTCTCTTCTAATTTCTGAAAGCGTCATATGTTTAAGCCAGCAATGTTTGCCAAAGTGTAACATAAATCTTTTAATTGGGTTTTCAGTTTTCCTCATTTGTGTTTTTTCCCATAGAAAAGTTTTTCTAATTTTAACTTTTAAGGTTTACTATTCTTTCTCAAAAAAGTTATTAAATAAGCGATGCTATTCCTAATAAAGGACATTGCTAAGATTTTTGAATCACCAATGTATGTAGATTAATCTTGTATTTTAATGTACTTGGGATAGACAAGGTGTATTATATGGTTGAGATCATCTTTTTTCCTATATTTGACTCAACATATTTAACTTCCTTTCATGTCCAGGTCTTTTAAGCTAGTCTTTTAAAAATCTGCCTTCACCTATTTAACAGTAATGTGGTTGTGTCTCATGAATGTATTTATTCCTAGTACAATAGGAAAGTGGGAAAAATAGATTCTGAGCTTATTAAAAAGGCACTTTTAGTAATTTGAAAATGCTATCAAGGGGCGCCTGGGTGGCGCAGTCGGTTAAGCGTCCGACTTCAGCCAGGTCACGATCTTGCGGTCCGTGAGTTCGAGCCCCGCATCAGGCTCTGGGCTGATGGCTCAGAGCCTGGAGCCTGTTTCCGATTCTGTGTCTCCCTCTCTCTCTGCTCCTCCCCCATTCATGCTCTGTCTCTCTCTGTCCCAAAAATAAATAAACGTTGAAAAAAAAAAATTTTAATAAAAAAAAATGAAAATGCTATCAAGTTTTAAAGTGAATTTTACTTATGTTTTTAGGGCAACATCTTACTTTCAATTATGTATTGCAATTAAGGGCTGCAAAATCAAGAGAGTTTATCACTTTTAAGGAAAATATTTAAATATTCATACATGGTCAGTTCTGAATAATAGAAGCTGGCAATGACATGGATTGTATAATAGTATGCAATTCTGTGTTATTGAGTTTTGGAAACATTTTAATATTTACATTTTTATGTGGATGTATGTTTTCTGGGAATTGACTACAAATAGGAAATAATGAAGTCATTTAAAATCAGGCTAAGAGAGAGGTGAAAAAATATTTTATTTTCCTCCCTTCCATTTTTAAGTCTTCCTTGAAATTTAGTTCATGTTGAGAATATAGTGTTGTTTGTTTTATCCTCCTTTTTTCTCTAATTCCATATTTTCTCCTCAAAACTTAACAGAGGAAGGAAATTTGGTAAGATAATTAAGTGGAGAGATATGTACAGCATTTTAAAAAATTACGTTTTTTAAATACTAATTTTTCTAAATACTAAATGCTAATTTTTAAATTTCTAAGTTTCTAAATACTAATTTTTATTATTTGTTATTATTCAGGGCATGGAAGACATCATTTGTTACCTACATAAGAGCCGGTTTTTCTTCTTTCATTCATTTAACTCTGATTTTCTTCCACTGTCATTTTGCTCAGGGGAAATTAACTGCTTCCATAATTTTAAGTGATAAGTCTTTTATTTAAGTATTTTATTTTTAAAGTGATAAGTCTTTTATTAAACTTTTATTCAAACTAGTTTGATTTTCTTTTTGCCAGAGATTGGTCTGGGAATGAATATGTAACCCTACTTTTAACCAGTGAAGTATAAGGGAAAGTCTGTTGTAGAGCTTCTGGGAAAGAATTTTCTCCCTGATAAAAAGAGAGGCAGGCAAGAAGAAAGCTTTACCTCCCTCCTGCTGCATGTTATTTTTAAAAGTGATATGTGAAGCTGGCTGGTATAGCCATTTTTGTAACCATGGGGGTAGATGTGAAGATTGGAAGAAGGGAAAAATGAGAAAACCTTTGATCCTTATTATATTATTGAACTGCTGAAACAAATCTGGAACCACTTACCCTTCCAATTTAATATTAGATAAGGAAATAAAACATTCATTCATTCATTCATTCATTCATTCACTTACAAGTATTTATTGAGTACTTAGTAAGTACCAGGTACTAATCAGGTCAGTACATCAAGTGAATACATCAGTGATAAAACAGACAGAAACACTAACTGATATAGAGACTTAATTGCATTTGTCAGGGATTCACAAACTACATCAGCCTTTGGACCAGATTTAGCCTGCTGCCTCTATTTGTAAATAAAAGTTTATTGGCTCACAGCCACACTCATTCATTGTGTCTGTGGCAACTTTTGCTCTGTGCTGGTGGAGGTGAATTGTTGCAACAGAGAGTGAATGGCACACAGAGTCTAAAACATTTACTGTCTGGCCCTTTACAGAAAAAGTTGACTATTCTTTGGTACATGTAGTGATATTTCACTGCAAACTCTTTCTGTTATCTGGTCTTTAATGCAACAGTCTTTTTTGAAATTTAAAATGGTCTTTGCGTTTTTATTTAGGTGTAAATGTAGCTTTAGAACTTAAAACTTCAACAGGAAGAAATATAAAGTTATTATTTAATAAATTAAAACCAATGATATTGAGCATATTATTTATTTTACTGTTTTTATTTTCTGGTAGTCTGATTTTTATCATTTTTAAGATTATAATTATCAATATGTGATATAGAAGATTTCAATAGCATTATAAAATGGAATTGTTTTTTATGCTTATTTTCATCGATTTGTTCTCATAATTTGACTACTGATAATTGACTAATAATACATGAGAGGTATGGTTTTAAATTTGATTTCAACTTCCCTAATCATCTCATTCATGAATGTTGACAGTATCCTATGAGCACATGTTAAATGTTTTTTTGAAACTTGA